ACTCTTAAGTAATTTCCAACGGTGCTCAAGAAAATTCGAAGTGAAGTGTGATTTAGGTAAATTTGTTCGATGAAATTCAATCTAATTTCAATTAATATGTTTTTATTTTTGCTTTTGTTTTCGAAAATATACGATCACTAATAAATGTGCTTGAACTTTGTTTGAACTTAAGCACATAGCTAAACAATGGGCTATCCGTGCTCTGCCCACCACGGGTATCGAAACCCGATTTCTAGCGTTGTAAGTTCGCAGACACACCGATGAGCCACTGGTTGGCACTAATAAAGAAAACTCTGAACAGCAGGAAGAGAAACCTCTTTTCCTTTCAAGCTCCATCAAAAACTGATAATTCTGTTTATGGCCATGGCCACGTTAATGAATAAAGGCAACTATAGGTACTCAAAAACTGATAATTCTGTTTTTGGCCATGGCCACGTTGATGGCTAAAGGCAACTATAGGTACTCGAAAACTGATAATTATGTTTTTGGCCATCTGCACGTTGATGGATAGATACAACTATAGGTGTTCTAAAGCTTTTATTTTAAAATTCTAATTATTTAGCATAGCCTAATAGACATTTTTAATGTATCTGTTTCTGACTTGGTAAATATCACTGGTTGTTAGCCTGGGTGTAGAGCAAGCGAGTGATCTGCTAATAATCCATGACAGACCAGCAATTCTTGCCTAATAAGGTTTGTTTTTACCCATTTAAGCTGCTTCTAGAGAAAGGTTTGGAATATCGTCGAGTTGCAGGCATAACTAATACATCTTATTCAATTAAACTCACAGGGTTTTCAATTCAATATGTACAGTATCGTAACAGGCATGGGCACAACATATATATATACTGCTCTCGCTAATAGTAAAAGCAGTATTTTGTAAATATATATCGGCGTCAATATAGACATACATATATAGTTTTAGCTTTCCAACTAACATTTGATTCAGTTGCGATTAACTATACCTAAGACAAAGGAAACTTGACGTTTGACTATCCCTTCCTATTTTTTTTATGCTTGGATCACAACTGTGAAAGAAGATGTCAAACAGAATGGTACAAAATAACGTGCATTACAATTGAATATATTTTAAAACAGTAGTACCAATTTTCATTTTTGAAAAGAATCTAGAGCAGCCAATTTGTAATCTGGTTATTTTTTTTTCTGTAACTAACAAGTCAGTATCTCTTTCCTCAAGAATGTAAGTGTTTTAAGTGGACAGAAAGTTAGCAATTATCTCACGGCTTTGCAATGATATATTTACGTGCTTTTCAAGTACAACAAATATATGAGTAAAGCAATGTTCGTTATTTGAATAAAGTTGATAAATAGCAATGAAAACTATATGCTGTTGTTATTAAGTTAACCCAAAGTTGGTCGAAACGTAGTTTTATTTTATAAAGTATTAAATTGTTTATACTTTTCTAAAATGTGTGGATATGGTTAAAATAAAATTCATTTTTTTTTTTACAGTTAAATGGAATTAATTGTAAATAGAAGTTTTACACGAGTGACATTTGAAATCATTTAATATTCGTTTATTTAAAACAATAATATTATTAGTAATTAAACGAAAGTATATCGGCTTTATAATATTTCAATAGTGAGAGAGTACTGTTAAAACGTAGTTCCCTATAAAATTATAACTCCTGGTAGTTGTAGCATATTCAATAATATCGAAACGGTTGGCTATAAATTACAATTTCGGGTCATGGTAAATTACAAAATACAGTATTCATCCGATTTATGTTATAGCCTTTACAATCTAAAACGGTTAAATGTCGACTGAAAATACATAGACGAAAGCTTAAGGTTTTGGAGATATTTAGGTCACAAAATTCAAGTTTAATGTTTAGGTACCGACGCTTTAAAGTTTATCTACATAGCTTTTCAGTACTGTAAAGTACGTATATAAATATGAAGAATAGCGGAACGAGTTCAAGTAACAATGCAGCTGTTTTAACTTAATAAACAACCAGTGTAACAGTTCTCAAAATATTTTTTTTACGGTTATCGCTGCTATTAATGGTACGTATTCCAGCATATTCCTTTGAAGTAATCTATATTTTGATAACACATAACGAATGCAGGTTCTTTGGAAGTAACATAATTAAGTAGCGAATGTCTCTGACGTATTAAGTTTTAATTCATTTAATTCCTTTGTTTCTTAGCTTATTTTCGTATTATCAATCTTCAATATGTCTCTTTAATTACTCTAAGTATTTCTTCAATATGTCTCTTTAATTACTCTAAGTATTAACCAATTATCATTGTGGTTGAAAATTACTTCATTTAGATTAACGTCAACGTCCCTGTCTTCTTAGATATTAGTTCTTATTTTCGTATTATCAATCTTCAATATGTCTCTTTAATTACTCTAAGTATTAACCAATTATCATTGTGATTGAAAATTACTTCATTTAGATTAACGTCAACGTCTCTGTCTTCTTAGATATTAGTTCTTATTTTCGTATTATCAATCTTCAATATGTCTCTTTAATTACTCTAAGTATTAACCAATTATCATTGTGATTGAAAATTACTTCATTTAGATTAACGTCAACGTCTCTGTCTTCTTAGATATTAGTTCTTATTTTCATCACTTTTCTTTTATTTTCTTAAGCTGGATTGTCCAAAATGATTTTAGCTTTCTTTGTATATATATATATATCTTTTATTAATTTGTTTTTCGCATTATGTTAATTTAGCGCATTAGATATGTACCGTTTTTAAAGTAATATTTTACATGATACATCATAAATCATCTTTAAACAAGTTATGTTTAATTTTTAGCTTTAAGGTAATTTTCGTTTTATTAGTTACTGTTATAATCAATTATAATTGCGTTTGGTTATAAATAACTCTTCCCCAACTTCTATAGAGAAGCTATATAACGTTTTACTACTTACAAAGAAGCCATTGTTTTCAAATTTGTTAATTATACCTTTAGAATCACACTTTGGTTTCGTCCCATTTATTTAAAAGCTATGAATATTAACAATTAAAATTTATTTCGCCTTAAGCAATTATTAGCTATTGATATTTGTTTTACCTTTTCATTTTTAGTCACAGTACTTAAAGCAATTCAATGTTTGATGGACAACAGAACTTATTATTTATAGTACTTAAAGCAATTTAATGTTTGATGAACAACAGAACTTATTATTTACAATACTTAAAGCAATCTAATGTTTGATGAACAACAGAACTTATTATTTATAGTACTTAAAGCAATTCAATGTTTGATGGACAACAGAACTTATTATTTACAATACTTAAAGCAATTCAATGTTTGATGGACAACAGAACTTATTATTTATAGTACTTAAAGCAATCTAATGTTTGATGAACAACAGAACTTATTATTTATAGTACTTAAAGCAATTCAATGTTTGATGAACAACAGAACTTATTATTTATAGTACTTAAAGCAATTCAATGTTTGATGAACAACAGAACTTATTATTATTGAATTTCAAAGTTTTTGTGACTGTTAAGTAGAACAATTATCATGCTATCAGAAGGAATAACATAAGGTCTATTGATGAAATCAACTAATCTATCAAAACATTATGGAATGATCTTTACAAAAATCGATTACTTATGCCAAAGTGACAGGGCCACTACTTTTTGGGTGACATAAATCATTATGTTCATGCCTTCCTGTAATAATAACACGCTTGTGTAAAATATTTTTTTAAAATACAATCTCATACAAAAGAATATATAATATACCACAGGTTATATAATTGTAAGATTACTTACAACAGACCAGTTTACACACAACATCAATTTTTCATTTTATCAAAATTTTACCCATCTTTTCAGGTTTTTTTCTTCTTCTGGTTTCTATACCCATAGCAACATTGGCCTTGTGAATTAAACTTGAATGGACATTATCTTGTACATTTCATACGCAAGGTAAACGCGTACAAAGTACTTGAACTATTAAACGAGTACAAAAAGTATTACGAACGAGACCTAGTTATTATCTAATGTTCATCAACCAACCTGAATATCCTGAGCGTCTCCTTCTTCCCTCGAAACCCCTTCTGCTGTTCTTCCGCTTACAAAGAATGGTTGTCCATCCACATTGTTAAACATCTTTAAATATTCTTCATTTTGTACAAGTTGATATATTCGAAGAGCCGCTAGAAGGTAATAATTTTGATTGCATTGTGAATTACTGAAAACTTTCATACAGTTTATACAGTAAATGATCAAATCCTCTAAAGCTTAAGTGCAGGAATATAATCCAACTGGGGAAAACGATAGATAATTGTGACACTTAAAAAACTTAAATACGTAAGATATATGCTTAATTTTAAAACGTGAATACTTTAACAAAACATGGAAATATGTTCTCGGTTTTATTAAAAATTCATGTCTATTTTTACTTCAACAAGTGAAGTATTAATATCATAACGTCATGAAATGTTATATAATATATATACAGTTCTAGTTTTCTAAATCTAAAACCAAAATGCATTGCGCGTATTTCAAAGTGCTTTTAAAGACATACCTGTAAATCAATAGGAATGAAGAAACGTTGTTATTCGACCATTACGTATATTAATACTATGGTATTTTTAGTTTTCAGCTTGAAATTCAAAGTCATTATACTCCTTAAAAGTGCACAATTTGTGGGAATTATGCAAAATAAACCTTTTTTCGAACAATACTATATCTTTCTTGTTGAATGGAATGGTTGTTTAAGCAAATCAAAATGTCAGAAGTTTCTGATGTGTTTAAGTATATTTCATCATCACAATAAGACTGCTATATGTTTCAAAGAAAAATTTTAATGCTAAACGTTTTACATAGACAATTCCCCATGCTTTTCACAAAGAACTTTAAACACGCTGCTTTCTACTCAAGTTATGCGGCTAAAGCTGTAATATTAGAAAATAATTAGAAATTCAAAAACAAACAAACAAACAATATAATTAGCAATAAAAAGCTAGAACGCGCAATATAAGTTAACCATTTAACAACATTAAGTATTCATTCACAGTTTATAAGTTGCCCACATTTTTGAGTATTTATGTACTTTATTTCTTAGTTTACTTATTGTTATATTCTTGACGATACTTAAATCCCTAGATCGTAGATGAATCCTCCTAAAATTACCAATTTTTAGAACAACTAATTTTACAGATTCTTGGATTTATTAAACTTTCCAATTATCTGAGTTGGATGAGTTCCCCATCCAAAACAGAGAAGATATCTTTGAATACGTACAGTCTATACTATGTGCACTCTGAAGTTGGGCAACATTACTGGAGTTTGACGTTTTCATTAGCACTACCTAATTTCTGTTTCTTAAAGCAGAAATACCGACCAAAGAATTGGATCCTAAGAGACATTAGTTCTGCATTATTACTTTTGCTGAATAAGTTATTTCCGCTCCCCAGAAGAAGAAGAGTCTGGATACAATAGAAGCGAAATGCTAAATTTATCTGAATTACCTAACGTTCCCACTCCCGGGCTCTTATGTGGAGCTCTAATTCGCGTTAGTTTACTTTGATACACCTTTTAGGTCAAGAGTCAAACTGAATTTGCTGTGACGTTAATCTAGCACTAAACCAATTTGGCAAACAATAACCGAAATACTAAACACACACACGGGCTTGAGATTATATGGGCAATTAATAATCTAATTAGCTAAACTTATATTTATAAGTATGTATATATGTGTGTATAAATAGTAGGTATTTATTTGTAAATTGAAACTACTTTCAACCTAAGAATGTCTCTGTTATTTCAATTAAATTTGAGTTTTGAAGCATTTCATAGCAAAGGAAAGGGTTGAGTTGGGTTGTTTAATAAATTTGTAATTAGATTTATGTTTAAATTATTTTTTCGTAATTTTTATTTCAAATAAGCAGATAAACATTTTGAATAAGAAATTTAGGAAATATTTCAGTAAACGTTTATTTACGAACATATTTTAAATATAACAAAAGCTGTAATATAAACTCTTTTAAATATGTTGTTAAATAAAAATATTTAATAAAATAAAATTACCAGTAATTTCAAACTTAGAATGTGTTTCCGGTTAAATGCTTAAAATCTAGTTAATGTTATACTTGCGTTGAAAAACGTTTTTTTCATAGCCCCTTGTGATTTTTGGAATAATAATAGTCGTAACTCATTCATAAACTTCATAAAAAAACTATAATTACAGTTTGGTAAAGTAAAATTAAAAAATTTAAAGGTCATCTATGCTCTTCCAATTAATTATTGAGAATATAAAAGACAGTGAATATCCTATTTATAGTTACTGCATCTTCCAACATAACATGAAATTAAGCTACATTTAAATTTCACTGGCAACGCTGAGTCTAATGAATATAATTAGATGTATTCAGCTAAAAAACATGTTTTTATTTGTTCGTATTATTTTCACCAGATTCTTGGATATTTTATCTACAATTAAAGATATTTTATTACGTTTATTACGTTCTGTAATAAACTCGAAATTTTTTTTTTCGTATGAAGAATGTGAAATAAAATCATTCAATGTTTACGATATATACAACACTAGTTTTTTCACTTGGACACAACTTTCAAAATGATAAGATTATAATGTTTTATACAAAGCTGTTACTACTAGCTAGAGAATTAAGAAATACACACACACACACACACATATATATATATACAAATTCGGGCTTAAAGATATTTAAGTAAAAATATATTTTCGTGAAATTAATCTTGGATAATTCTACGTGTCTAATGCTGGACTTGTACAAATTTTATGTGCAAAAAAAACAACAAAAATGAGAACTGATTTTAATATGTTACAGAGAACGGAATAACCTGGATTTTAAATTAAGTAATTAGAATTGCTTTTTTTCTTACATAGAGTTATATTCTAAGCTTTTCATTTTCATATTTTTTGGTATTTCCTCTCTTAAATTAAGAGCGACCACTTTACCATGCCTATGTTACTAAAGAAATTGAATGGTGGTTTAATTATAGAAGAAATCACATCTGGTGTTTGTGTTTTGGTTTTGAAGTCCAGGTTATTAAAAAAGGTTAAAATTTAATAAGCTTTAGTTCCTACTTCCACAGATGTCCTTTCTTCTCAAACTTGTGCTATATTATAAATCCTGAGCATGAAGTTTCTTTTATTAATACATATAATTATCTATTATATTATAAACTATGAGTTTGGTGTTTAGTTTTATGTATATTTATATAATATATGTTTCATGCCTTTTGATCTTTACTTATTATTATTATATGCCTGCACAATAAAAACATGCATTTGTATGTGAAGTTAGGGTTTTATTTTAGTTCCGTGGTTGTCCTGGTGTATTTCTTTGTTTTATTCTTATGTGTTGAAGTATTTAGGAAATGAAATTAAGCAAGATCGTTATATTTAGTTTTTATTATATTTTGCCCTCTTTGGTAGAGCGGTAGAAGGCATCCATCTGGTGACCATGGTTTCTATATTGAATTATAACTCAGTTTTTGTAGTTTTTACTTTCTTGTATCTTTTTTCGGCATTATAACTTTCTATATTAGTAATAGCTACCTAGATTACGTATATATCGATCCCTACTTGTCTTTATAAAATTTAAAATTTTCTTATTATACTTGTAAGTTTAAAATCAAATGTGTCAGCAGATAGTTTAATACACTTTGCCATAAATACACAATATAAATACAAGTGCTAAAGTTTATTACTTACCCTAAATTTCCCAAGAATTAATCACTTTTTAATGTCATTACAAAACATTACAATAAACTTACAATAGCTGTGTTCAGATAAGCTAGAGTTAGATCTAAAACATCTGAAAATGAATTCTATAAAACGCTTCTGAATGAGTGAAATCATTTTCATAACCAATTGGTTGCTCATATTTCTTGTGGTATTTGATGTAATAAAAGTAATACACAATGTAAGCCATAATTATTTATTGTTGCTAAAATAAAGATATTTTTCACTAAAACCTAACTAGTTGTGATCATAGTTATTAGTTATGTATTCACTAAAACCTAACTATTTGTGATCATAGTTATTAGTTATTTCTTGTGGTATTTGATGTAATAAAAGTAATACACAATGTAAGCCATAATTATTTATTGTTGCTAAAATAAAGATATTTTTGGTACGTGTTTCGGAAACGTTTGTTTTTCGACAACAAATGATCGCGTTTTAAATGACGTATTACTTTTATTAAATTATATTGTATTTTAATATAACTTAAGCGTATCTAAATTTCAAGTTTCCATATCTCAATGCTTATCAGTCTCAGAAACACTACTAGTTTTAAAGGCAATTAATAATTTTTGTAATAAGGCAGAAAAAATAAATCTTAAATGTGTCATTCAAAGGAAGCTTTGTATTACCGAAGGACAGTTTTACAAAGAACTAAGCTAGTTTTGATAAACGTATAGATAACAAAATACGGCCCTGCATGGCCAGGTGGTTAGGGCGCTCGACTAGCAATCTGAGGGTCGCGGGTTCGATTCCCCTTCCCACCAAACATGCTCGCTCTTTCAGCCGT